TGTGTGTATATGTCACATCACATAGGCTACTTTTTATCCTTTTGTGACGCGAGCGAAGCCGCGGGTAAAAGCTAATATTTTTATATTTCCAGAGCCCAGATGGTAAATACATAGCAAGTGGAGCTCTAGACGGTATCATTAATATATTCGATGTTGCTCAAGGAAAACTAGTCCACACATTAGAAGGCCATGCTATGCCAATCCGGAGTTTATGTTTCTCACCAGATTCACAGTTACTGCTTACTGCATCTGATGATGGACACATGAAACTTTATGATGTGTAAGTATGATTCTATAGGATAAAACAAAATACACTTTATAAAGAGTTAAGAATTAATTCGTAGTAATTGGCGTTCCTTAGTCTCTGCCTACCCCCATGGGAGACAGGCGTTAAGTTATGTATGTATGTATGTTAAGAATGTATCATCAAAAAGAATCCATAAGTTGTTTGTTCATATTGGATCACACAGTAACGACACAGTGACCATTAACATCGAGGAGAACAATATCATCATTTTATATGGGAACAAATGTTTATCAATCACCATTTTATTGGGTTATGCATTTTATAATACTTATGTCGACATATTCAAACGCTAATCAAGCTTAAGTCACGCTTAAATATAGATCTGTCAGTACACATTCTTTGTAAAAGACAGAGATGGCATGATATTTAAGTACAATTTAAAATTGAGTAGCCTTTCAGTATTCGGGGTGTGTACTTACTTTTATGCAGTGGCGGCTGGTGGGTTATCGAACTGGTGGTGCAGTTTACTAAAATATTAAAGTTAGAAAATGCAACAAAACAAAAATTGACATAATATATGTTTATTTTTTATACATTAAATCAATACGACGACATTTATCTGAAGCGAAATGTTCAATCACCTTTTTATTAAAATCGGGTATTGTTTGTATGAATTTTTTTTCAATACTAAGCACAGAAAATGCATTTAGCCGATCCTGAGACATGGTATTTCGGAGAAAAGTTTTGATTCTTTTCAGTGTCGAAAAACATCGTTCGCTCTCTACTGAAGTCATTGGTATAGTGCACAGAATTCGTAATAGTTTCATTGTCTCTGAAAATGATTCAGTCAGGTCATTATTATAGAACAACTGTAAAATTGCAATTGCACTATTTGCGTTGGTGAAATCGTCGCGACTGTATATTGCTGATAGTTCGTTTTTCAACTTGTACTTGTCCAAAGCTGCATAGGTGGAAACTGTGATTGTGAAATCTTTGTCAGGAAAAGTAGAACGGTATGTGGTAAAGTTCTCGCAGTAAAATAATTTGGCTGCTATCAAATGATTACAAAAATTGAATCTGTCTTTCACTTGAGTAATAATTATATCGCACACTTCTTTTGCTATAACAGAGCTAGACGATTTAAACCTTTTTTGAGGCGGTTCTTCAATTTGATCTATGGTGTTACGTGCATTTTGTATACTGATTTCAAAATCATTAATACAGTTTTTTATATGAACCAAATCAATATTTCTTTTTTGCATTTGTTTGAATAAAATTTCACTATGTGGCAGAATAGATTGAAAAAAATCAAGCCAATATAAAAAAGTACTGTCGTTCAAATACCTTTGAAGCATATCAGCCTGATTTATAGAATTGGTATCATTTTCCGTTTCTATAATGGTGGTCATGCATTCTTTTAAAGGCTCTTTGTAGCTATGTACTGATGCAACGGTCCGCGAATTAAAGTTCCATCTCGTTTGCGGGGCAGCTGGAATCTTCTTTGATACAATAGTTTTCAAAACATCTGTACGCTTCGGCGATCGTGAAAAAAACTTTGGAAAAGCTTGAAGGTTAGCAAAAAATTTCTGTACGGTTTTGTTTTGACTTACACTTTTTTCTATTATTAAATTTAGTTGGTGGGCGTAACAATGAATGAATGAAGCATTTGGATAGACGGTTTTTACTTTAGCCTGTACTCCACCAACATTCCCGCTCATTACAGCGGCGCCATCATAACATTGTGCTATTAATTGTTGCGGAGTAATTTGAAGTTCCCGTAATTCTCTTATAATAACAGAACTAAGTCCTTCAGCAGTATGGGAATGCGGCGTAAGATATTTCCAAAACCGTTCGTGAACCTGTCCATTTTCTTCGTATCTTAAAATCATTACCATCTGCATAGTCGTCGATACATCGGTAGTTTCATCAGCTTGAACTGCTACGTATTCACATTTTGTTATAATATTGGACAATTCTTTGTGGTATACACACAAAATTGAGTCCAAAATATCGTTCTGAATAGTTTTTGACGTGCCTTTGAAAACTGTAGACGACGTGAGATGCTCCTTCATGACCGTATCCAACTCTGATACAAAGTCTATTAATCCACGAAACACCCCAGCATTACTAGATTCAATAGTTTCATCGTGACCTCGCAAAACTAACTCAAATGCACCACAAAACTTGACACAATCGATAAGACGTGATAAAATGTACCTGTTTTTATCAACTTGTTCATTATACTTTTGGATATTGCTTCTATACACAGAATCTAGCTGATTGCGAATGTCGACCGTGCCTAACACAGACAAACTCATTACATTTTGTAGGTGTACTTGTGAAGAATCATGTTTTTTTATTTTTTCACTCAAATGCGTCAAATCCTTGATTCCTGTTTCTGTCCAAATCGATTCTCCGCCAAAAATAATGCAAGGAAAACAAAAGAATGCATTAAGACGCTCACATCCACACAACCATTTCTTTCTATTATACATTTCACTTTTAAAACTTCGTGTAAATGCTTTATTTTTCGATTTGCACTCTTGTTTTAAATTTAAAAAGGGCCGTGGCGGTCCGGCCAATTTTATGTTCACTTTATTTTGAAAAGTTCTGTTATTTTCTTTAATATAATCAATGTTTATGCTCATTTTCACTAATACACAGTATAGAAGAAAAGTTCTCGAAAAAAATCGAAACGAAAACTAAAAACAATTATTTACGGTAATATAAATAAACAATTATTAGCGCGTCACACATACAGTGAAAATATACTGATAGTCTAATAACGAGATGTCAATCATCCAATGGCTGCCGTCGCCTCGCGCGCGCCCATGCCGGCCAATTCGTCAAAAATCGGGTGCTCTCGGCAATCCTCGGTTCGCATCGTACGTGCGGCGCTCGACAACCGACTCATTACTCGGTACGTTTCTATGAACTATCTTTTGTTTCACGCGTCAGGCGTATTAACTCGTATCACCTACAAGTTGTATTAGCAGCCCTCGTGAACTCGCCGAAGCGCACGAGAATTTGTCTTTACAGGAAAATAAGTCTTAATAGTTTAGTAAAGGGCTCAAACAGTTTCACTATAATTGGAGATTTAATTTTTTATACGTTTTTGTTTTTATATATTTAAAAATAATATTAAAATGGTAATAAAAATAAAAATGAAGTAGGTACTTAATATTTTGTCATTTTTAAATCTTTTGGATTGGTGGTTCAGCGCACGAGCGCACTTAAGGTACAGCCGCCACTGCTTTTATGCATCATAATTATTATAATATCTTTATTTCAGTGTTCATGCAAACTTAGCTGGTACATTATCAGGGCATGCGTCATGGGTATTGTCAGTCGCATTCTCACCTGATGGCAAGCGGTTTGCTTCTGGGAGTGCAGACAGAACAGTGAGAGTTTGGGATTTAGATAGCATGCAATGTCAACATGTATTTAAGGAACACAGTGACCAGGTATGTAACATGTTTTTTATAATAACTATCGTGAGACATACTAAATTAACTAAAATCGCGGGTTACTCACGTGAATATAAAAGAAACTAGTAGAGCTTTTCTCAGTATATTCACGTGAGTAACCCGCGGTTTCAGTTAATTTACGCATGTAACATGTTAAAGAAAATTCATTACATACACCGGCTACCGTTCTACCGTTGCTCACTAGATGGCGCAAATATGTAGTTAGAGATTTTTTGTCCCATCACGGCAGCTGACAAATATTGAGCATTAAACACTAGCTCATTCCCTGTTGGACGAAGATTTACACTAGTTCCATTTGGCGGACAAAAATACTGTAGATCCCATTTCCCAGTATCTGCTTATTATTAATCATTTTATATTAATAATATTTCTTTATCTATTTCCAGGTCTGGGGAGTAAAGTTTAATGCAGAAAGTAATAAAATTATGTCTGTATCGGAAGACAAAAGTTTAAATATTTATGACTGTCCATTATAAATTTATAATGTATAATATTCCTCGTTTAATATACCATATCTTTTATAATAATGTCTTTTATTATGTCTATGTATCGACTTACAAATCGAACATACATAAAAGCTATAATCCATACTAACTTCTACCACCGGCTTCGCCCACGGTCCCGTAGAATAGTGTACGGTGGACAGTAGATCGAACCACGATCGAACTAGTCTAATTTAGCATTTTCGACCCTATCCATACTATAAAGTCAAATATGTTATAGAGAAATTTGACAGAAATGGATAGGTTGACCAGCAGGTCAATACCCAATTTGGCCAGCAGGTTTTTGTGAAATAATTAAAAAAACTATAAGCGCAACAAATTTAAAAATGTGTGCAACAATTACAGAAGCCGCACGACTAATTATCTGGCCTGGGTAACGCACACAGGATACCTAATAAGATATATTATACATAACATCGTACAAAAAAATGAGCCAAGTTTCGATGGAACTGCTAGTGCTACATTCATGATAGTTTTAGTAGTTCAAGTTTTGAATATTTTCTTTATGTTGATAACCATGACTTTGAAAAAAGCGCTCCCAGGTTGATGGGTTCATGGGAAGTCATTACCGAACGAAGTAAAAAAAAATTATTTCTAAACGAAAAATTTGTCGATCATAGACAATCATCGATTTATGACTGCGTTCCAGATTACGTAGTGAAAAATTTCTTAATATTTTACATAAACATTTATAGCTTGTCCCTATCTTTGTTGGATAGAAGTGTATACTTTATCTCTTTCTTTAGTATTGTTTACAATATTACTTGTTATGATCAATCAATGTCAATATAATCCAAACGGATTTTGATTCCTGAATGTTTGAAGCATATTTATACTGATATTCCTTGAAAATATAATTTACAATAGTTACAACCATTCAATAAATTGATCTTTATCTACAAACTACTAATATGCCAGTAAATACAATAGTAAGTACTTTAGCCAATAGGTTATCTTAGATTTGTTTGAGCGACTATTTTTCCGATATGTTATGTTAAAATGAATCAAAAGTAAGAGTTGTGCATTGGTTTTCAGTACTCTATATTGTTGAAAAAAGAAAATGCCCACGATGATCCGATTTATTGCTGTACATGGGCTAAAATAAACTTTTCGGGAGATTCCGCGTAAGTACTATTTTACATTAAAAACAACCCGCGTTTGTGCACAGGGGCTGGGGTAGGTAGCCAGTGCGTTTGGGCATCGGTTTAACATCAGCATCACTGATCCTTGCACATTCTTTAATGCACCAAGTTTGGAGTGCTCTGCACCCGGCCATTTTCGAATCTTTCCAATAAGATTGGCGTAAAGGATTCCCATTTACCATATGTTCTTTCTTATATGCCAGCACCTACCGGTGTGCGGCGCCGTCGCTCACATTGCTTACTGTTTTTAAAAAAGATAAAAATAAGAAAACCATAATGAATTAAATAATTTTTTAATTATCATACTATAATACTTAATTCTGATTTCTAACCTTGACAAAATATTTGATTTTGTTTTTAATTTTAGGGTTACTTCAAAGGATTTCATAGTGACTGGAGGGCTGGATTGCTTGGTGAAAGTGTGGACGCTACAAAATGACAAGCTGCAACTAGTTTATACATTAAAAGGCCATAGGATGGCAGTGGTGGCAGTAGCTGTTAGTCCGACTGCACCAAGTAGGTCTCATAATTTGTATCTATACAGATAATTAAAATTTAAGTGTCTCTTTGTAATATTAAAACAACCATTTTTACTACATACATAATATGAATATAATATACTTTACACATACCAATATATTTTTTTTACATTTTTTGTCTGTCTGTCTTATTTGTTTGTACTGGCTAATCTCACAAAACTTATATTCTACAAAGACGAAGTCGCAGGCAACAGCTAGTTAAAATATATACTTTTTATTCCCATATATAATTAAATGAGTCAATTGTAATGAATAATCATGATCACCAGCCAGACATTGATTGCTGAACAAATTGTAAAGAATACACAATTGTAATTAGCAAAAAGAAATATTACTTTAAATGAAAGTGATCCCGACAAACATTTTTATTTAAATTCATTTTTTTTTTGAGCCCTGCTGATAGTTGTCACATACACAAAGTTTTTGTCTAGATCCAAAACAACAATGTGTTGATCACTTAGCTTTAATATTACACTGTCATTGCAAAATGCACTTAAAACACAAGTAACTCAAGTTTCTTTTTCCTTTCTCATAGTAATAGCAAGTTCATCACTGGACTCGAGCCTAATATTTTGGGACTTAGGTTCAGGGAAGATGTTGACTGAGATACCAACAGGAGCTAGCGATGTCTGGAAGATGGCATTTTCAGGAGATGGAGAACATCTATGCACAGGCGGACATACTGGCAAGGTTCATATATATGGAGTGAAGAGTGGAACCTTAGATAAAGTACTGGATACTAGAGGAAAATTCATATTGAGTGTTGCCTGTGTGAGTATGAGTATCTTAAGAATAATTAAATAATTTTTATTTTATTAGTTTGTTATAATATTCATTATTTTTATCGGCTAGCTAACGTAACTGTTTGACGAGGAACTGAACTAGTTTCAAGCCATTCTTGAGGCTCATATTTATGAGCAGCATTCTGCGATACGACGCGGCGACTATCGCGCTGCTACTGGTTACTCGAGTCTGCGCGTCCAGTGCGCCATCTGCCGGGACTCATGCGCACTTTCTTCTATCTACGGCCGCGTCGTTGTTGGGTTCGAATCCCGGATCAGCGCAAATATAATGTTACATACTGCGCTTGCTGTTTCACATTCCAAACCCACAACATTGTAGGCTGACGTAGACTTCAGACTCTTCCAGGCTTTTGCCTGTGGTGGCTGGGTATTACGGAAATGTGCACGCCTCTGTTCAAATTCGGACGACAACTTATCTTGATGGTCTCACGTACTTTCCGCGGTACGAAATATAGAAACATAACAATTTAATTTAGTATGTCTCACGAAAATATAAATATTAGTTTGTTTTTTTTTTAATTTATTTCAATTTGCGATTTCTATTAGCGTAATGTGTTAATTGGGGTTTCTAGTTTAACATAATAATTATTATTAAACTAGAAACCATCTTTCAGAGATTATAAAGAGAGGAGCCGGGATACCTATCTTATACTATTATATAAAGCTGAACAGTTTGTTTGTGGGCTTGAACGCCCTTGTCTCTGGAATTACTGGTCCGATTTGAATAAATATTTTTGTGTTCGATAGTCCGTTTATCGAGGAATACTATAAGCTATAAAACATCACGCTATGATCAAAAGGAACCGAGCAAAACGGATGAAAAGCGCGGGAGTAGCAAGTTTATAATATGACCCATTTTTCGCCAATTAAGTTAAAGATTCTATGCCCTTAATTTCTCTACAGATAATTATAAACACTGATTATTTCTTTTCATCAACATAAGTGCCCACTGCTGAGCAAAGCCTCTTCTCACACGGAGAAGGTTTGAGCAATAATCACCACGCTTGCTCAATGCGGGTTGGCGATTACAAACTTATAATTAGAAATTAGCAGCCCAGGTTTTCTCACGATGTTTTCCTTCACCGTTTATCAGTGCCTAGATCTTAAAAAGTACATATAACTCGGAAAAAGTTACATCGGTACTTGCCGTGGGTAGGTTCCGAATGTCTTAAACCTCCGGGCCATCACGACATTAAATTATCTAAAGAATTTATTTCTTTTACCAGAGTGGAAATTCAAAATACATTGCAACGGGTGCGGAAGACGGTGTTCTATGCATATTGGACGCGACACAAGCCAAGGTGGTACATACGGTTCAGGCGCACTCGAAGCCTATACGGAACCTAGCCTTCTCTCCGTGCAACAAGCGACTCGCCACGGTTTCCAACGACGGCTTCGTCAGGCTGTATGATGTGTGAGTACCTGTTTTTAAACTGTTTTCGATACATGTATAATTAGCAAGGGTTGCGGCGTGATTTTTTTAGGACGTTTACTACTAACAATCTATATAAATTATTATATAATTTGAACTAATTCATTCTGTGACACACGACGCGGCGATTGTCGCGCTGCTACAGCAGCAGGCCGTAGTATGGCTTGAAACCAGTCGAGTTCTTCGTCAAATGATTACCGGAGCAAGCTAAAAAACATATTAAACAATTTAGTATGTCTCACAAGAGTTTTTACATAAATATAATCTTTTTTACTCACATTTTTTAGTTACTTAGTACCAACTAAGAGTTTAAAACACTTCTTTAGAACCATTCACATTACCTGTTATTTTCCCACACAGAGCTAGTGCTGGTCTCCAATACTCATTGAATCTCAAGTGCTGGGCCGTCGGCATATGTTTCTCGGGCGACGGCACGCGCATTGCGACGGCGGCCGCCGACGGCACCGTCCGGGTCGTACTCACAGAGGGACTGATTGTACTCAACACGTTCCAAGAACATACGGATATGGTGAGCGAACTTTTTGTGTTTCTTTATAGTTCTACATTGTTTATGTACTTGATGAATTAAAGGCTCCTACAGAATGGTTCATGCCGCCGAACAAGCTGCGGTAAACCCGGCTCTGGATGAGCTTTGATGCGCTATTAATTATTAAATAAATTGTTGTGGGAGAGCCATGCTTCGGCTCGAATGGGCTCGACCGGAGTAATACCACGGCCAACAGTAAACCGACGTGAAACAACGCCTGCGTTGTGTTTCGTCGTGAGAGTGAGGTTACTGGAGGCCCAACTACCCACCCCTTCCCCAATCTCCCCGACTCCTGAATCTCCAACGATCCTCAAGTTCCTAATCCCCAAAAGGCCGGTAACGCACTTGTAACGCTTCTGGTGTTCCAGGTGTCCATGGGCGACGCCGATTGCTTACCATCAGGTGATCCGTCTGTTTGTTTACCGGCTTATGCCATAAAAAAAATAAAACAATTGTTTGTAAAAAAATGTGTGTGCAGTCAAATACGTGCTGCCCAAGCTGCACATAACCTGTACTCTATTATAATAGCATCTAGGAGCCATAACAATATTCTCACTAAGCGTCAAAAATGCACTTGATCTTCAATACCTTTAAAATGTTATCCGCATATGAAATAAACAATTTGTCCACAGGTTTGGGGTGTAAACTTCAACAGCAACAACAAGAGGCTAGTATCTGTGTCCAAAGACACTTGTATCAACATCTACGAATGCCCGCCATTGCCGCCAAAGACTGAGAAAAAAGAGGCCACACTCGTAAAATAATTTAATCTATAAATTATTCTCTCTGTATTGTAAAAAGGATTGTTTGTTTGCATTGGATAGGCTACAAAACTGCTGCACTAAAGCTGGATTTCCTTTCAGCGAGTGAATTAGGATTTTCATCCACATATTCCTACAAGATGGGGATTGACTCAAGAGAATCGAATTCCACGCAGGTGAAACTGCGGCGGAAAGTTGGTACCTATCCAATGTATTTATCATTGTAGTGTCAGTTTTGTATTACCTAATTAGGTAATTAATACTTATATTTTATTTATTTTTTTGTTTGATTTTATTACGGTACTATTTAAATATAAAACGTGTAGAATCTTGTTTGTTCCTTATAACATTAATGTCTATAGATATAATCAACATTTCGATAATGTAATTAGCTGTCTCTAAGTGTAAAATATAATAGGCGATAATATTGTATCTGTTTACTATTCCTCTTGTATTTTTCAAGTAAAAACTTACTGTAATTATGTATGTTAGCAAGTATTTTCAAAAAATACATAAATGTCGATGTATTTGTAGTTTCCCTTTTCAATCCATTCTACTAAATACGTACTAATACTAAAAAAATCGACTTGAATTCTTTTAATTAATGTACTTGTGTACGTAAACGTAATAGAATGGGATTTACCACATTTCTCACACGTGCAAACACATATCAAAGCTGCGGTATTTGGTGGTCATCTAAAAATAAAGCACATTCAAAAATTAATAGGGAAGTTTTCGCGTTATATGTTGATAACAATTCAAATTCCATATTGCTTCGTGTGCCATACTTGAGAAAGTAAAACCGTTTATTACGCCACGACACACATATGCAGACAACAATACAAGAACACACAAAAATAAGTTCATGGTGCTTCACAGTGTAAAAGGCCGGTGCTCAGCTTAATGCTACCCGGGCACGAAGGCTCGAGTCAACAGCGCTGATTTTCAGCACCAATCTATATACTTCTTCTGTATACACGTCCACAGCAAATCAAAAAATTTTTTTATTGCATAAGTCGGTAAATGATCAGGCGGATTACCTGATGGTAAGCAATCGGCGTCACCGACACCTAGAACACCAGATGCGTTACAAGTGCGTTACCGGCCTTTTAAGGATTAGAAGTTTAAGGATCGTTGGGGATTCAGGGATTGGAGAGATTGGGGAAGGGGAGGGTAATTGGGCCTCCGGTAACCTGACTCACACGACGAAACACAACGGAAGTGTTGCTTCACGTCGGTTTTCTGTGAGGCCGTGGTATCACTCCGGTCGAGCGGGCCCATTCGTGCCGTAGCATGGCTGTCCCATACTTAAAAATATTATATATATATAATTTTATAGACAATCCCGCCTCAAAACTCCAACTATACTATACTATAACTCCGCTGCAACTATAAGCCAGGATCTAAGTAGATACAACTACCGAAACAATACAATCCCGCTCCGTAGGTACTTTTATATCTTCTGGTGTCCATAGAATAGTGGATAATTTATCATCAGATGATGCGTCTGCTCGTTTGCCGCCCTAAAAATATAAAAGTATAGTTAAATGATATGGTAAGTACCCACGGCTATGGTTATGCTATAGAATGCGTGCAGGGGTGCGGTGTCCCCACGCTAAGACGGGGAGTCTGGCTCGGCAGTCGGCTTGATTAATTTTCGGCGGTAAGAGGATTTCGCCCGCCGCCATATTATACTCGTTCTTTGCCTAGGATTTGCACTCTTATAACAAGGTAAGAACAGCAAAAATGCCCTTTTCAGGATTACCCATTGGAGTCGTAATTTGGCGACTGGCTACTTCGCTGAATGGATGTCACTTTTTGATTTGGCTGGGTGGAATTCCATGACCACGTTTGTACATTGTAGTTTATTTATCTATTGGAATCGGAAACCACAATTTATAAAATTCTTATAATTCAATGTATTACTAAAGCTTGCTATAGTCCCCATAGTTGCCTACCTACATCAATGGTCTGAAAGAATGGCATTTTTCTATGTCAACCTGTAAAAGTCATAACATAGTAAATATCACGTTTTTAAACCCTCGAAAGGATAGGTAGAGGTGCATACCGCTTAATACCACTTTATTCAGGCGTGAATACCTATTCAAAATCATTAACTGTAAAAATAGCATTCTGGCTTTAGCATTCTCTTTTTAGTAACACAAAAGAGTATTAAACAATTTTGCTTATTGTTATAAGTATCTATCAACGCATTATTGAGCTGTTGTCAAGCTAAATACATAAAGGGGAGGCATTTATCAAAAATATTTACATTGGTAGCAAGTCAATTGGTTTCGGCTTAATTTGCGGGGAATTATGCGGTGCGGCCCGCCGGGAAATCAACTTTACATTCAATTTGCCGCCGTGCACAGATAAAAACCAATCTCTTCATTTTTACCTGTCGCGGCGAGAGAATAAACCCTCTTTGATGTTCATGAATATATTTATAAAAGTTTGAAACATTGGAAGTTGGTGTTTCTTATTGCTTTAGTTAGAATTTTAAAATGTAGGTACCTATGGTATCGATGCTTTAGATAACATAATATGCTGACACACACCTGGATGTACCCATTTCATAACCGCTGTACATCTATTAACATTACCCATTAAGATAAAATAAAAACAACAAGTTGGCGAAGAACATGAATGAGAAGACTGGCACACATTTGAAAAACATGACGCTGAACTTAGCCAGAGACAGTATTATCTTCAGCTGAATCAACTTTTTTATACTACTGTGCCTTGATTGGAATGGTAGATAATACTGAAAGTTTCGGAAATATCGAACGATATTAATAGGCGGTTGACAAGGTATTGTGCAGTCCACATACGAGTTGCCGGTGGCCGGCAGCGGAGGTATCGATGTCGTAATCACGGCCGCGCCGCCGGCAGCGCCATTCAATGAGATGAAATCACTATGCGGCTCTATGAATAATTCAGGTGCGGTCCGACTCCGCCCTCCCTCGCCTCGCTCCATGCACCCCCACTATCGATATTGATATAAAGTTGATAGAATATGTATGTCCAATACTCCAGTACGGTCGATCCCAGTCACCTAATTTGACGACGATACCTATATTTAATGTCTACGTGATCGTAGGATCATGCTTTTGGCATCTGTACTGTAGAGTTTTCGTTTAACAAAATTCAAACAGTTAGACTTTGTTTATGACTTCATATCTAAAATAACGAGAATAACGAGATAAAGTAGAAAGCTTACGAAACTTAAGCAATGTCCACAAGTCAAACTTCAGGTCTCGAGATCGTCAGGTTTCAATAGTTTGGGGTGTGGCTGTGGCACTTAATTTTGAAAAGTTATAGGTACCTAAGGAATATGTTTTGCAGTGGAAAATCAGGTTTAACATGTAGACATGTATGTACATAACAATATTTATAAAAATTATAAATGAAAAAAGTGAATATACAATTGAAAAATTTATTAGTGCCTATTCATTTCAATAAATACAACAGTCTATGTAATAACAGGATCTAACAATTTAGTGGTGGTAAGAGATAGCGGGAGAAGAGTAGGTGACGTGAGCTACGGGAGCAGCGTAGGCAACCTTGGCGACAGGGGCGGCGTAGGCGACCTTGGCGACAGGGGCGGCGTAGACTGGAGCGTGGGAGTAAGAGACTGCAGCTGGGGCGTAGGCTACTTTGGCAACGGGAGCGGCGTAGGCGACCTTGGCTACGGGGGCGGAGTATGCGATCTTGGCTACGGGGGCGGCGTATGCAATCTTGGCTACGGGGGCGGCGTAGGCGATCTTGGCGGGTTCAGCGTGGACGGGGGTGCCCTCGTAGCGCACGTTGGCGTTGAATCCGTGCTCCTTGTCGGCGGTGTACTCGACGATGCGGTGCACACCGTCGGGCTGCACGAGAGAGTACGAGCCGTGCACGGCGTCGCCTTGACGGGCCTCATGCTGCTGCTTCACGTCACCGCTGTGGTCATCGTGCACGGAGTATGAGAACTCGTAGTGAGCGGGCGCCTCAGGCTCGGCGTACACCACCTTGCTGATGGGGACAAGGGGCACGGCGTAAGCCGCCACGGCAAGGGACAGGACGATAACGAACTGCAAAAAGAGAATAAGTTGTAATTATGCCATGATTTATTAAAATCTTCATTTTGATTCAATCAAATTTTTATCCGACAACTTACTTTAGCGACCATGTTTGCAGATTTTTTGAAATGTTGTTATTGATTTGCGAATCAATGTACGACTGTGATAATGTATGACCTGCTACAGTTTTTATACCGCAGTCTCGCCTTTAGGTCTTGTATGTTGGTGACACACGTTGCGCCCGCGGCACTGTCTACAATGATTGAGAGGTGAAGGTCAACGCGCTGCATTACTGAGTTACTACTACAGTGTATTACATATAGACAGAGATTAGTAGCACCTAGAATGGTAACATATCTACATTCCAATATTAACGAATTATGTAATACTTTTTCTAGAAACGCCCACACAATATTCCTTTATAGGCAGGTATTGCAATGAAAAGCCTAAGGCGAGTAAAAGTAGCTAAGTTACTTATAAGATTTATCAATACTTTTAATTCATCTACCACGTTGAATTTATGTATAAATGTTTTACGTTTTTATGAAAGTTTCGATTCAGGTGGTAGCTAACAATTGTCTCGATATGTGTATAGCATTGGTAGGTATAAATAATAACAAATAAAATTATTTATTGGTCATTTATTATCATAACTTATAAATAAGTTGTACGTAAAATAAATGTACTAGATACAATTCAAAGATCCTAAATCTTAATAATTACATTGACGTAATAAGTTATCTACTGCCAACGGCCAACGTATGTAGGTACATACAGTACCTAAGTATCAATTTCTCTATTTTTGTGATAAGCACCTACCTACCTACGTAATTCGAAAACTGCTTTCCAAAAAAGTAAATGAATACTTTTAATTTACGCGGTAAGTTGTTATGGCTGATTTAAGTTCGCAAATCATGTTTCCGTAAAAACAAACTGGTTACGAGTCAAGTTCACGACCTTCTTGTTAATTAAGTTCAATATTTTCATTGATTACATTCAAATTATCACTTCGGTCTTGTTTCCATTTTAATTGTATCGTTGGTCGAGTATTTTCTAGAGCTATTGCTGAGCAACGTATCTTACTTAGATTAGATTCGTGGATTAGCCAAAGTATTATTTACTGAGTTCTTTTATTTTCCTATACTCAGTAACAACTCGGGTTCTGGAACTGTGTTTGATGTTTATAGCTACAGAATTACTGAGAAAAGCTGTACTAGTTTCGAACCACAGAGGGGTTCTGTTTCATGAGCATCGTGCGCGGTCGCGGCGATGTCGCGAAGCCGACGCAGAGTAGTAACCCGCGACTTTAGTTAATTTCCTAAATAGTGGTGTACCTACTGTGTTACTCTGCAATACATACATTGTCTCGCATACAGGGTGTAAACGGGACGCTCCCAGACGCTGATTTAAATTCCCAAAAAGACATTATTTTTACAATTTTCATTGTTTTTGTTTTTGCGATATTCATGCAACATTAGCCGTGAGCAGTTGATTACATACAACTATTAAAATTTAATTTCTTACTTCTATGAAAATAAAAAGATATATAATAGAGTCGTGGTGGCCCGGAGGTTTAAGACTAAGTGCCTCAGCCGGTATTGGAATACTTGGTGTCAGCATTTCGAGCGACGTCCAGTTTTGCGGCCATTTAGAGGATAAGGCCAAATTAGCCTCGAGGAAGCTTGGTGTGCTCAATAGATCGAGGCAGTATTTCACCCCGACCCACCGCCTGCTTCTATATAAGGCACAGGTGCGGCCCCACATGGAATACTGTTCTCATCTTTGGGCGGGGGCACCCCAGTACCAGCTTCTTCCTCTGGACCGCATTCAGCGGCGTGCCGTTCGGATTGTTGGATGTCCGGGTGTTTCAAACCGGCTCGACACTTTGGCAATGCGTAGAGATGTAGCTTCATTGTGCATTTTCTACCGCTTATACCACGGGGAGTGCTCTGAGGAATTGTTTGACCTGATACCTGCCGCATCTTTTCGCCATCGACCCTCACGACAGCATATGCATCCCCATCATATAGATGGTTGGCAGGCCACAACTGTGCGGTTCTCACGTAGCTTCCTGCCTCGGACACAAAACTGTGGAATGATCTGTCGTCGGCGGTATTTCCAAACCGATACGACCTTCAAACCTTCAAGAAAAGAGCGTACTCCTTTTTAAAAGGCCGGCAATGCACCTGTTACTCTTCTGGTGTTGCGGGTGTCCATGGGCGGCGCTGATCGCTTACCATCAGGTGATCCGTCTGCTCGTTTGCCTCCTATTCCATAAAAAAAGACGTTCTTCTCATGAATGAGGATGCGGGTTCGAAACCTACCAACGGCAAGTACCATTGTGACTTTTTCCTAGTTATATGTACTTTCTAAGATCTAAACACCACTGACAAACGGTGAAGGAAAACACCGTGAGGAAACCTGGGCTTATAATGTCTAATTATAAGTTTGTAATCGCCAACCCGCATTGAGCAAGCGTGGTGATTATTGCTCAAACCTTCTCCGTGTGAGAAGAGGCTTTGCTCAGCAGTGGGCACTTATAGGCTGTTAATGTTGATGATGATAATGACAAAAATAAAATGTTTTTGACCATCACCTGTCGGTGTTTTTCGGCGTTCCGTTTATACTCTGTATAGTATGACGTACCTACTGCGTAAAGTAATAATTTAGATTAGCTACGTAAGAGACCCTTAGTCTACATGATCCGTCCGGGTGTCATCACTGCGAGGACCGCCCTGAGGACACGGTGGAACACACAGTGGGAGAATGCCCTGCGTGGGCTGAGCACCGCCGTGCCCTCAGGGAAGTGATCGGCGATGGCGACCTCTCGCGTCCGGGCCTAGTGCAGGCCATGATGCGGAGCAAGGGGGACTGGGATGCCGTCTCCTCCTTTTGCGAAGCAGTCATGCTAGCTCGACGTGCAGGAGAAGGAACGGGGTGGATTTTAGTCAGTAAGAGTCTGACACTCCCTCCCGCCTCACCCAGGTGGGAGCAGTCATTCGATGATTTTCCCCCCTTAAAAAAAATAATAAAAAAAAGTCTACATGATCCGTAAAATCGTACGGTTTTAAAGTTGTTTTGTTCAAAATTATCGGAAATATAGAGAAATTACTACCTCACAGATCATTTAGCATATCTCAGAGTAAAAATACTTTTTAGTAGTATGGGCCGCTGTATTGTATGAGGGGGCTGACGACCAAGCAAGGATATTAACCCTTTATAATCTATCTATATAAATAAAAATGAATTGCCTTTCGTTAGTCTCGCTAAAACTTGAGCACATCTGAACCGATTTCGCTAATGTTCGTGGAAGTCTAGGGAAGGTTTAAAAGGTGAGAAAAATATCGAAAATTTTATTGGAGAAACCCTAACAACAGCCCTTATATTTGTCCAATACAAACATTTTTAAAGTAAAACGTACAGTCAATTTAAGTTTTATTATTATTACCTAAAGTTCATATTGCAAGCACTCACTGTTGTCTAATCAACGTTGGAGCACAGAATACATCGTTGGAGGATTTAATATCACGTTCTAAAATTGAAAAACTTTCGTGAGACATACTAAATTAAAAGTACTCATGAATTAGTCGAGTTCCTCATCTACCAGTTATGTAAGTAAGCCGGAAACATAATAATAATCTTACATCTTCTTTTTCTAAATATTGTACCATGATAGATTACAAATATACATATGTAGAATATGTCATTATAATTAATTTACTGACTGCTATTTCATAGTATTTCACTTTTCTTGTTGGCTCTGTTTTTAGGGTTCCGTACCACAAAAAGAAAAAACGGAACCCTTATAGGATCACTTTGTTGTCCGTCTGTCCGTCTGTCCGTCCGTCAAGACTCTTTTTCTCAGGAACGCGTGGAGGTATGAAGCTGAAATTTATATCAATTACTCAGGTCTACTGTCCCTTGAAGTTATGAAAAAATCAAACTTCTAAGCCAACGCAATCAAAAGATACAGCCGTTTATGCCACAAATTTTCGACACTTGCAAGGGAATCAAAACCTACAGGGTGCTTCCCGTGAACTCAGAATCTTGAAATTTGGTACGAAGCAACGTCTTATAGCATAGGTAAAGGAAAAATTACGAAAACCATAAATTTTTTGTTACATCACATAATATATATTTTTTTAATAATTTTAAACTTACTACCCATTTCCTCATAAACGCGTAGAGGTATTAAATTGAAATTCATACCAAATACTCAGGTCTATAATACCTTTAAGCTGTAACAAAATCAAACTTCTATGTCAACGCAATCAAAAGAAACAGCAATTTAAGCTGCATATTTTGAAACTCGCAAGTACTCGCAAGGGAATCAAAACCTAAAGGGTACTTCCAGTCGACCTAGAATCTTGAAATTTGGCATGAAGCAACGTTTTATAGCACACATAAAGGAAAAATTCCGAAAACCTTAAATTTTTAGTTACATT